GAGAAGATTTCTTATAAAATATTTACAGCATAGTTATGTGTCTCAAATCTGCTAAAAGTGGCCACTTTTAGCAGATATGAGATACATAACTATACTTCGAACTTTTCATATGAAATCATAACTGCATAAATACCCCCCTATGATAAAATTTTCGGCAAATCATAGAAATCTAACGTAGCTATAGTACTGTAGTTAAAACGAATTAAAAACTTCTAGCGCTAGCTACTTCCGTGCCCTTTCACCTTAAGGGTATTTATTTTTCTTCTGAAGTAAAATTCGAGCGGTGCATGCTGTCTTATGTCTGATGTCAGCATTATTAATATATTATGTTATCATATTATTAATATATTGTTTTTGTTTTCAGATATTTGGCAACTGGTAATACATTCACTGATCTACACTATTCCTATGTGATTGGAATTGCAACAATTAGCGAAATAGTAAGACAAGTTTGTTACATAATATGGATTGAACTAAAGTCTGAATGTATTCCACAGCTTAATGGGATCAAATGGAAAGAAATCGCAGAGGGATTTCTCACATATACAAATTTTCCTAATTGCTTGGGTGCAATTGATGGAAAACATATAAGAGTGATTCGGCCGCCGCACAGTGGATCACTATATTTTAATTATAAGAAATATTATTCTGTAGTGCTCCTCGCAATGTGTGATGCTGATTATAATTTTACATATATTAATGTCGGTACCAGTGGAAGCAACGCCGATTCAACCATCTTTAGAAGGAGTCAATTGTATACGAAACTGGAAAGTAACACGTTGGGTATCCCTGACCCGCAAGAGTTGCCTATTATTTGCCCCGAAGTAGCTTATCCATCTAGTGTAAGAGCAAAGTTGCCGTTCGTGATAGTGGGAGACGAGGCATTTGGTTTATCATCACATGTGATGCGGCCTTATGCTCGTGATAATTTACCTTACAAAAAGAAAATATTTAATTACCGTCTGTCCAGAGCTAGAAGGTACATAGAATGCACTTTTGGAATTATGTCAAATAAATTTAGAATATTTCACAGATCCATGAATGTCAAGTTAGATCTAGCACAATTAATAGTCAAGACGGCATGTGTACTTCACAATTTCATAAGGAAACGGGATGGCTACAAGGTCAGCCATACATTTGTCACAAATGGTTTTACGGGACCACTACCCAGGCAGCAGACTGAAAGTAGTAATACGTCGGCAAGTAATATCAGAGATATATTTGCAGATTACTTTATCAATGAAGGAAAAGTCTCCTGGCAACACCTATATATAATTAATTAACTAAACTCAAAAGGTTTTAGAAGGTTTTTGATGTTATTTGTGAATTAAATAATTATGCTTATATTAATAAAGTAATGATGCTTGTATAAATAAAATAATGAACCAAACACATACCCGCCTCTTTTCTTTCCTCTTCGCTCAAATTTTCGTAGTTAGGTGCCAATTCCTTCAAAATATCTCTCCATGCAGCCTCCCTCGCGTCCCTGTGTTTGTATAATTCATTGCGTTTATCCCACAAAACGGGCCGCAGATGAACTTCAATGATTACTCGTTCTGTATCGATTTTCATTTCGGTAGTACAATACGGCGCGTGCGCCCCGCTCGACTCTAAAATGGGCACTGAAGTTGTAGGCAGCGCTTACGCATGCGGATACCCCGCACCGGGGTGACGCCCCGCACAGCGCCCCGCGTCCCGCGTGCGTTTATCACGCTTTACAATAGATACCTATATGAAATTGTTCTTTGCGGATGCTACGCATGCGGTCCAATCCCGCGTGCGTGAGCAAATCCGCGTGACACTAAAAGCGCCCTAAGTGACACCACCCTCCGGACAAGACAATGGCCCTAGGAGCCATGAGAGGTGTCGACGGAAACCTGATATCCGTCCGGATAAGAGGTCAGCAGAAGTTCCAACAGCGAAGGTGCATGATCCTCCACATCTGGAATCCGCTTAGGCAAAGTAACCAGCTGTGTAAGACCATATGCCAAGGCAAAGTCATAAACAAATCTCCCCACATGATCGGTTACATGTGAACCGAGCCATTCGGCGTGATAGTCGTTAAAATCGCCAAGGATCACTATCTCTGCGGATATCCTCCCCCCCTCCAGAATACCAGAATACGCAGGCAGCTTGAGCACCCACCCTCAGGAACAGTAGGGTAGCTTGGGCATGGGTGCTCAGCGAAGGATTCTCTGTCACCAGGATGCTGGTACCGTCCTGGGGTAGATTTTTATTTGATTCCGATACCATATTTTAGGGGGGGGGGGGGAATTGGGACTCCAACTACCTACACTTACCAAGCGAAACGCAGAAGTAAACTTCTAACTTCACGCTGGTATTCTGTGAGGCCGTGGTACTACCCTGGTTCGAGCTGGCCCATCCATGCGAAAGCAAAAGCTGCCGCGTGGCTCTACTCACTCTTAAAACGTAAACATGGAATAAATTCTATTTACTTTTTTTCTGCCCATCATAAATAAACAACCGATACACAAGAATAAATTATTTTCTTCATTAATAGACAAGTCCAGTCTTAATGAATAAACCAAACACATAACTGCCTTTCTTTCTTCAAAAATTCTCTAATACTTTCATATTTTTCGTAAACGCCAAACTCCCACTAGACACCCTGATCGAGACTGAAAAAACCTATCGCTTAAAGGTAGATGATAAGTATGCCCGCATGCGGCGATGCCGCATAAGCACCTCACAACGTGAATCTACCTGTCCTATTCATAAATGCCTTCATGTTTTACGGAATTAACCGGTTAATTTGGGTGTCAAAACCATTAAAGTAACCGGTAATAAAAGGAGCGATTAATTTACCGGTAATTAATCGAAATTAACCGCTCTTTTTAAACCGGTTCCGAGCCCTGGTCATAGATAAATATATATGTAGCAAGCTAGCCCTGGTATAGGTAAAGCTTTGCTTCTGTACGGTATGGTTTCTTTATGCATTAGGGCTGGGCGTTTTTTCGAAAACAGTTTTACGCAACAATTTTTCTCAATGAAACGAAGAAACGCTTTCTTGTTCTTTCAAAAACCAGTTATTAGACATAACACTTATTTAAAAAACGAGTGTGGAACGTACGTCGCTGAACGAAACGAATGAATAACACACAGCACAGACCATGACAACCAGTAACTTGTCTGTGGCAGAAACTGTTTTCATGGCATATATGCATACGCACATGCTAAATCCCAAATTAAGAATTTATTTTAAAATCTTTAAAAAAAATGATATAAAAACACTGGATAATATTTCCTTCTACGATTGCTCTCACACAAAGCACTGTTGTGAACGCAGAGCTGGAACTATACTGGAAACACGCGACTTCTTAATAACCAATTACAGCGCGAGGAGCTTGGGCCCCATCATCTGCCGGCATGCTTCGATAAGCTATCTTTCTCGTACTTATGGCTGCGCATTAGAATTTGTCGCATTCATTTGTAAAATTTATTCACATCTGGGAATTGTTTAAAACAGCTAAATCTGTCTGGCGATTTGCAGGTATTTCGAATTCGACCGGGGAAGGACCACACTCTCACAGAATACCAGCGTAAAATAGCGGCTCAATGCTGCTGTTTCGTATAGTGAGTGTTGAGAATCGGAGACCCTTTTTACTGGAAAAGAGGCATTCAATCTTAGTCCTTATGGCTGACAACGCATCTGCGTTTTGATTCGCATACGAGGATAGATGTATATGTCTATGGGCCACAGGAACCACTTACCATCTGGTGAACTGTATGCTCGCTTGTCACCCTTATCCTATAAAAAAATACTCAATAAATACGTAACTAAATTTTGAGATTGCCAAAAGTATATTTTTTGGGAATTTTAATAAAATATTTTTGGAGGTCTGATAATACTTTATGACCGTCAAAAACCTCTCTGGGATTTGATTTAATTGTATAAACACTAAATTAAAAGATAAAAAAGAAATCAAGTTGTCAAAAAAACATTTTTTGGATATATTTTTTTACAAATGTTATATGCTGCGCAGTAATGAAAACAAACGCTCTGCCAGACTCGCGAGACTGGATTCGCTAATTGACGAAATTATATTTTTTCACAATTTCAACTTGCCAAAAGGACCTTCCCAAAATTCGTCGCCAGCTCTCAGACATAACATATAAATCGAAGTGTGCATTATAGAATGAAGAATATCATTCGGCATACGAACTGGAACTAGATTTCTAATATTAAATTTCGACTTACAAAATATTACGTAAGTGTGGGTTTTACCTCCCTCCCCCCCACAAGATAAGGGCATATAGATATTTTTAACCCCACCTCCCCCTCGGGACCATTACGTAATTAATGAATGGCCCTTTACGCAAACACTTGGGCACTATAATACTGTCCTGCGCAGATTTCTAGTCTCCGTTGAGTCTAGAGGACATTATCACCATACAGCTCGGTACGATCCAGACAGCGCCTGCTTAACTTTTTTGTTGAAAATTACAAAAATTACGATTACTTTTACAGTAATTTATTTATTTATTATTCAGTCATTTAAAATCGTAATCTTCATCAACGTCGAAATGGTACGGAGAAGTGATGAATGAAAGAGGCCTATTACTTGTTTAATTTCAAACATATTTTAATTTGTTCCTTTCCTGTTTGTTTACAGTAAGAATGTAGACTTTGTTTAAAAGAAACTTGTATCTAAACATTCATCTTACTCAAAATGATTACTTTTTACAAGAATATCAAAAAATATTCGATAACCGAAAAACGAAATTATGATAATCCACCAGTCTCAGTTCTATAATTTGCTTTTTTGACTTCTTCGGCGCGATAATACGTGTTCTAGAAACGCGCGTAGAAAAAACCTCGTCTACATAAACCTTTAACAAAGGTAGTTCCAACCTCTTCCTGGGTCCTCTCTCTTCTCCTATTGTTTATTCCTTTATAGATATATCACAATAGATCACTAGACATCATTATTCTCTTACGCCACTTAATGATTTAAAGTTCTTGTTGTGCTCCCGATTATTTATAACAATTCTGCTTTATATTGAGTTATTCTATCTCTTGACGGGAATCGTGTCCGCAGAATGAACATATTGTTTATTTCCGGAGTAAAATCTAAAGTTTCTAAATATCCAAACCAATATATAACTAAACCTGGTCCAAATCTATTCCAATAACATGTTAATTGTTCTTTAACGTAGCCAGAGTGATTTTCTTCATCTCCAAACATTGCTTTACTTTCTACCCAATTAACTATAAATCCATCAACAGCTATTGGAACATCCAATTTAAAGTCAGGAGTTTTGTCATATCCTCTAGATCTGAGAATGTTTTCATCAGAAAATGTTATATTCATCAATCTCAACTCCCTTTCTAGTCTTAGTTCATACTCTAGTCCAATGGATCTGCAAAAAATGTTACTTATATACAAAGATCTCCAAATCGAGAACCAAGATAGATAAATATAAAAAAAAAACTTTCATATATCTTACTGTTTTACTATATCTGCATAAGGACCATATTGATTATCATTCATTATGCCCTGAAAGCAAAATTTATTATTATAATAGTATAGTGCAAAATTTACTGCAACATATTATATGTTACAACATATGTTGCTGTAAATTTTGCATACAAACTCATGTTTAAAGGCCAAGACTTGTGTGCTCAACAACATGAAGAGCACTACGTAATTGTTATTAACTTATATATTTTGTAGAACATGCACAAATTAAATAATCCATTAGAATGTAGTGATAAGTAAAAAATTTAGAAAATTGTAAATAAGGCCTTTGATTATTTATATCTTGCAAAAAAGGTAACACATATCGTGCACGAAATTGTGCAACAGTATAGTGAAAATTTTCTGTCTCTCAGTTTGTTCTAGAATTTTGTGTCTTATTTTGTTCTAGTATTCTCGATACTCGTGTAGCTAATCAAAATAGAAAATTTATTTGTTAACCTGGAATTCACTAGGGACAGGACTCCTTTTTTACACTAGGAGCATATGTGTAATAAATACTAATAGTGAGTCAACTCGGCGACTAGGCGCGGTATGAAAGTGGGCGGAGTACCGCCCCGTGCTCGCACCGTCTGCAGTAGTATCACTCCGCTTCGTTTGTGTACCGGTACACCCATTTAGTAGTGTCACGTACTAGAGATGTTATATTACTATCAATTTATCGACGCAATTTATGGATGGCCTGCCTCGTTTTCTTCTCTTGTTTCTTGTGAACCAGAACATAATTGTTTTTGACCAATTTTCTTTACCCCTGATTGTATGCCCTGTCCATTTCCAGTTTTCTTATGATTACAGTAATACCCTTTGTTCTGGTGTGTTTCTTTATGATTGTAGTTCTTATGTTTTCTGTCAGTCTTTTCCCCAACATACTCCTTTCCATAACATTTAGGCACACTGCAAGTTTTCTGTTGTGAGATCTAAGTGCCCAGGTTTGACAACCATATATCGATACAGCCATTATACAAGTATCAAACAGTTTCCGCTTGATGATCATACTTATTTCTATGTTTTTCATAATCTCTTTCAGATTCCTTCCGTCCGCGAATCTTAAGTGCGATAGATTTTCATCATTGATTGCTAATTCACATTTCTGCCAATTCAAGTGACGGAAAACCTCCTCCAGAACAGCTGTAAAAAGTTTTGGTGACATAACGTACACCTCTTCCTATTTTTATTTCCTTGCCTTCTCTTTCTAGTTGGATTCTAGCTTTACTATTTTTATATATGTTTTTTATTATTCTTATGTATTTATTTTAGATGCTCTGATTTTTAAGCGTTTGCCAGATCTCTTCATATTCAAGTGAGTCGAAGGCCTTACTGTAATTTACAAAACCACAGTAGAAGGTTATATTAAATTATTTTTCGAATCTTTTTCGACCATGTATATGGTCTAATGTCGAAAAACCGCTTTTAAAACCCGCTTGTTCTCTCGGTTAATTTTCATCTAGCGTCTTTGGAATTTCTATTAAGAATTACCTTGGCGAAAACTCTGTAGATATTTGACATTAGGCTAATAGGTCTATACTTATTTATATTATTCTTATCTCCTTTCTTGTGTAGCGGTATTATGGTTGATGTTGTCCAATGATCAGGTATTATCTCACTCTGCAATACTTTATCGAATAAATAAGTCAGAAATGGTAAAAGGTGATCTTTTTTTCGATAAGAAATTAGTTACTGATTCCATCTGAACTGGGAGCTTTATCTTTCTTTTAAGTTTTTATAGGTTTGACCACTTCTGCAGGTATTATATCTAGTACTTCTTCTTTGCTTGCTAGGTGTTTGACTGTTGTGTTTATTTGCATACAACTCTCGGAAAAAGTCAGTGGCTACTGAGATAATTTCGGGGCGTCTGATTTCACAATTGCGGTTTCTATTTGTGATATTGGGTATCCATTTAATTTATGCCCTCAATTTTTTTAATGCTTTTTGGTACCTCCTGTCTTCTGAATACAACTTTCTAGTAATCCTAACCTGTGTCTTTGGCGGTCTCTTCTCATGTTAGATTTCATTTTCTTACTTAACTCAGCTATATCTCTCCTTGATTCTTTTGTTTTTATGCCATTGATATTACTATGGCTATATTTCTTACTAATTCTTTGGTTTCGTTTGATAGCCATTTATCCCATTTTCTATTACTTGGTTCACTCTTGTAATTAATACTTCTTCGAATTTGTTGTATTTGTCTTTAGTATCTATATCCTTTGTATTCAATGAAATTTTCTGATTTTACTTTTAGTCTTTCAGTATTCTCTAGTAGTGTAATGTTGGTTTGCTTTATCTTAAAAGGTCTGTTTCTCTTAAACATCTGGAGTCGAAGTTTGGCTCTGACCATTCTGTGGTCGCTGTTGAAATTTAGGTTATTTATCTGTGATTTCTTGACTTTTATTAGTTAAGATATAATCTATCTCATTTTTATACTGGCCATCTGGAGATTTCCAGGTCCATTTGTAATTATCTCGTTGTTTGTATAGACTGTTAAATACTTTCAAGTTGTTTTCATATGCCAGATGTATGAGTTTTTCTCCTCTTTCCTGAACAATACGGACCTAATACCATTTCCTCTCCATATCCTCTGCTTCCCGTTCTTGTGTTATCTTACATAACCGTCTATAAATATTACCAACTGTTAAGCGGTCAATATATAAATAAACAAAAGTTAAATCAAATAAAAAGTCATCATCATCATCTTTACAGCCCTTCACAAGTCCACTGCTGAACATAGGCCTGCCCAAGGAATGCCACAAAACACGGTCCTGAGCCACTTGCATCCATCGACTTTCTGCATGTCTTACCAGGCCATCACTCCATCTAGTGGGAAGACGCCCTACACTTCGTACGCCGGTACGAGGCCGCAACTCGAGAACCTTTTTCCCCATCGGTTGTCGGTTCTTCGAGCTATATGGCCACTTCAGCTTCCTAATCCGTTGGGCTATGTCGGTCACTCTGGTTCTACTGCGGATATCCTCATTGCTAAGTTTATCACGCAGAGAAACTTCGAGCATAGACCTCCCCATTGCTCGCTGAGCAACCTTGAGCTTCTTCATCCGGCCAGGAGTGAAGAACCACATCTCAGTTCCATATCACTGGCAAGACACACTGGTTGTACAGTCTCGTTTTCAAGTTTTGAGGTATACCTGTCGAGAAGATGTGCCGTAATTTCCCGAACGCTCCCCAACCGAGTTGAATCCGTCGATTGACCTCTCGGTCGAAGTTGGACGACTTACCTAGTCGGACTATGTGTCCTAGGTAACATACTCGTCAACAACTTCGAGCTTAGTGCTCCCAACAACTACCGGCATAGGTGTGACATGGACATTAAACATGATCTTTGTTTTGTTATTGTTCATCTTAAGATATGTAATATAGTCTAGTCATAATAGTCTCTCCCAACGGATAGGCCGTTGGGAGAGACTATTGAGGTCATTGAGAATAGTGCTTAGGTCCTTCAGCGATTCTGCCATAAGGACTATATCATCGGCAAATTGAAGGCGAATGATGTACTCGCCATTGATTTAATACCGTATCCTTTCCAGTCCAGTAGGTTGAAAACATCTTCCAATGCAGCGGTGAAGAGTTTCAGGGATATAACGTCGCCCTGTCTTACACCTTTCTGCAGTTAGATAGGTTTCGTACTCTGGTTCTGTACTCGGATAGCCATCGTAGCCCTACTGTACAAACACTTCAGCACTTCGATATACCGATAATCAACTTGGCACCGCTGAAGGGACTGTAGCACAGCCCAAATCTCGACGGGATCAATGGATTTCTCTTAGTGCACATACACAAGACAAAGTGGCAGATTTAACTCTTCTGTCTTCTGTACAATCTGCCGAACGGTGTGTATGTGGTCTATGGTACTAAAGCCTTTTCGAAAACCGGCTTGTTCGGGAGGCTGGAAGTCGTCAAGTCTGCGTGCGAGATGATTCGTAATGACTCTCGAAAACAGCACGTAGACGCGGTTCAGAAGGGAAATCGGTCTATAGCTCTTCAAGAGAGCGTTATCGCCTTTCTTGAAGAACAAGACCACTGCACTTCTACTCCACACCTCCGGAGTAGCACCACCATGGAGGACGGAATTAAGGACGCGTTTACAAAATTGATAGGTATAGAATCGAACTATTACATTTACACTGTTCACACACACAAGTGTACGCACGGTTAGCTGCGGGAATCGCAATCAAGTATAAACATTTTGATAATTTGAAAGATTGTTTTTTTTTTTTCATATTTCTTATTACCTACAAAAATATACTTAGATACGAAATATAAATGGCTGGTCCAGAGACAGCTAGGTACTAGAAGCCATCTACAGGGAGTGAGATGTTGGCTGTGAACTTTGAGCTGGTTTTGTTAGTTATGATAACTTCAGCTCCGAATTTGGTGAAGTGACTTGAAGGTATACTTGGGTGACTGCTACTGGAAGTCCGAGACGAGTAGTACCATGTGTGCCGAGTTTGGGCTTATTATGTTAGTTATGATGAGACCTTACCTCCAGACTTGACAGAATGAGCTGATGGTGTACGTTGGTGAATACTACTGCAACTCCTGATCGAGTAGAACTAGGTGTGCCGAGTTTGGGCTAGTTTTGTTAGTTATGACGAGACCTTACCTCCGGAACTGATGAGAGACCTGATGGTGTACTTCAGTGACTACTACTGGAACTCCTGGGCGAGTAGAACTAGGTGTGCAGAGTTAGGGCTCATTATGTTAGTTATGACGAAACCTTACCTCCGGACTTGATGGAGAGACCTGATGGTGTAATTTAGTGACTACTATTGGAACTCCTAGACGAGTAGAACTAGGTATGCCAAGTTTGGGCTCGTTTTGTTAGTTACGACGAGACCTTACCTCCGGACTTGACAGAATGACCTGATGGTGTACGTTGGTGACTACTACTGCAACTCCTGGACGAGTAGAAGTAGGTGTGCAGAGTTAGGGCTCATTATGTTAGTTATGACGAAACCTTACCTCCGGACTTAATGGAGAGACCTGATGGTGTAATTTAGTGACTACTACTGGAACTCCTAGACGAGTAGAACTAGGTATGCCAAGTTTGGGCTCGTTTTGTTAGTTACGACGAGACCTTACCTCCGGACTTGATAGAATGACCCGATGGTGTACGTTGGTGACTACTACTGCAAATCCTGGACGAGTAGAAGTAGGTGTGCAGAGTTAGGGCTCATTATGTTAGTTATGACGAAACCTTACCTCCGGACTTAATGGAGAGACCTGATGGTGTAATTTAGTGACTACTACTGGAACTCCTAGACGAGTAGAACTAGGTATGCCAAGTTTGGGCTCGTTTTGTTAGTTACGACGAGACCTTACCTCCGGACTTGAAGCAATGACCTGAAGGTGTACTTCAGTGACTACTACTGGGACACCTGGACGAGTAGAACTAGATGTGCCGAGTTCTACCGTCAAGTCCGGAGGTAAGGTCTCGTCATAACTAACAAAACGAGCCCAAACACGGCACACCTAGTTCTACTCGTCCAGGAGTTGCAGTAGTAGTCACCAACGTACACCATCAGGTCATTCTGTCAAGTCCGGAGGTAAGGTCTCGTCGTAACTAACAAAACGAGCCCAAACTTGGCATACCTAGTTCAACTCGTCGAGGAGTTCTAGTAGCATTCACCGTATACTTTGAGATCACTCCATAAAGTCTAAGACGAATAGGATTTATATATATTTATATATTATAAATCCCACTTGCTTTTAGCGAAACAAAACATTATAATAAGAATTTGTGATTATAAAAATATTTATATTATGTATGTGTATTATTTTACTTTGTCAGGTCATGTACCTATGTATCAAATTCGAATATTTTGTGTTTGTACAGCGATCTTTTTCAGCTGCTGCAGGCGATACAGCAACCACCCGCGATAGCGGCCGAGCGCCGACTGTGGTTTCATCGAAATTTTTGTACAACAAATCAAAACAGACACTAAAAATAAAATAACCCTTATTGCAATCCATTAGGATTCATCCGTATCAGCAAAATATGTCAAAAAATAAGCATCAGTTTATATTTTTTTTACGACCATTTGTGACATTTTGATAAAAAGTAATCACCAGCATTTTTTCTTGAATATGTCTGCCTACTTACAGTATTTTTAAAAATCTTAATATATGTTGATAATAGAACAAAAAATGTACCGAAATATGAGCCGGTATCGTTAATTTTGTAGTAAATGGCTAGGGAAGATCCTTTTTACAATGTAAAAAACTATTATTTTCAACAAAAAAGTTACCACCATTTGAAGATAAAGAACCATTCTATACGTTGTAGTTATTAGATATATTTGATTTGGTTTAGTTTTGTCACAAAATGTACCGAAAAACAGCATAATTTGGCCCGATTTGCAAACGCACCCTTAAAGAGCTTCTGAAAGACTTCAAGTACCGGTTTTCCACCCGCTTTCAGAAGCTCCGCTGTAATTCCATCCTCGCCTGGGAACTTGCCGTTTTTAAGGAGCTGGAGAGACATTCTAATCTCGCTGAGACCGACATTCGGAATATCTTCGGAATAGTGTCGGATAAGACACGCTCTTGGATCGTTACTCACACTTGCGTGTGGCTCCAACGATGACGTGTACAGCTGCCCATAGAACCTCTCAATCTCACTCAAAATCTCAGGTGTCCCGGAAACGATGCTGTCATACTCGGTCTTCAGCTTTGACAGTTGGCTCTTTGAGGCAGACAGATCTCTGGCAGACTTTGGAACCTTGGTTCCGCTCGATCGCTTCTTCAATACAATCTGTATTGAAGTTGCGTAAGTTCCGCCGCATGCATTTGGAGATCTGTCTGTTCAGTTGCCTGTATGCTGTCAAATCTGTTGAAGACTGCAGCTTCATTTCCCGTCTAATAGACATGAGATTAAGAGTGTGATCGGAGTGCTTTTGTGTTCTTCTGCGGCGGGTCTTGCAGAACTTAGCTCCGACCGCATGGACAGTTTCCACGAGCTTATCATTCACATCGTCCACTTCATTGCAGTCTTCCAGGCACTGAAAACGGTTTTGTAACTCGAACTGAAAGGTTTCGGGACTTTGGACTAGAGCACAAGGGGGACGGAGCGTTGACTTCATTAGATGAGACCTCTCCAACTTAACGTTTAGGTTCAGTGTGCTTTTAACCATTCGGTGATCGCTACCAGTTTTCACCCTCGCGATCACTGAGACATCACTGAACAGTTGTGGTCTGGTCGTCATAATGAAGTCAATCTCATTCTTTGTCGAACCGTTGGGGCTCGACCAGGTCCACTTCCTGTGGGGCCGCGTCTGGAAGAAATAATTCATCATAAAGAGTCCCTCTTTCTCCATGAAGTCGGCCAGCTGCTGGCCCATTGGGTTCCGTTGCCCTATTGCGAATTTCCTTACTTTCCGCTCACCGTTCTCTCTTGTGCCTAGTTTTACACCGAAGTCTCCCATTAACACCGTATAGTGGGTTTAGGAGGAATGCATGGCTCTAGAGATATCCTCATACATTTCCTCCACCTCCTCATCGGGGTGTGCCGAGGTTGGTGCGTAAAACTGTATGACCTTCAGCGAATACCGTTTAGTGATTTTGAGTAAAAGGTACACAACCCTTGTCAACACACTCCCAATCTTTACAACGTTGTTATCGAGAGACTTGTGGACGATAAATCCGACACCTCCTTGTGACAGATAGTCACCCTCCCGGTGATAGAACAAGTTGCCGGATTCGAGGATTACCGTGTTCTCCCCCTCTCTTTGAACCTCGGATAATCCTATAATATTCCAGCGCAACTTGTCTATCTCTTCTTCCAACTCCAGGATCTTCTCGTCAGTCCTCAGGGTGCGTGCGTTATAAGTTGCCAGGTCGAGTCGTCGTAGGTGATAACCGAACCTCCACCGGAGATTCTTAGCACCCCTGCCCCGCCGTTACCATGGTCGCCACCGTAGCTAGGAATAGCGGGGCCGCCGGGGACTGGGGGTCGTCCTTTTGTAACTTTATTCAGTGGGGGGTATATTGCCATAGTTGCCACGCTTGGCGAGCGGGTTGGCAACCGCAGTTTTCTGTTTTATTGTGATATTGCTCTTATCAGGAAGATGCTGCTGCCCATCTCCTGCCTGTTTCCCAGTGTCACCTTTTACAACACCCACGGGAAGATATGGGGTAGTGGATATTCTTAACCACCACTACACGGCAATAAAAATTATGTAACCTTAATTACCCTATATCAAGTTCATTAATTTTATATTAAATCACCAACTCTTACCAAAAACATTTGATATGCCAAATCTTTGTTTTCAATTAGTGTAGTATCCTTGATTATTTTTTTTGTTTGTGTAGAATCTGGGTAAACATTCTGGAGCAGAGATCGTACTAATAACGCTGGACTTATTCCTTGGCTGTCGGAAAGTCTGTAACCAAATAAAGTTGATTATTATATCTAAAGATAACTATTGTTATAGAGCCATTCAGATCACAGTTCAGTGGTAACCAGTTAATCTTTTAAACTGGCTGCAGTCAGTCAATGGTACCTACAATAATTGGTTTATTTACATTTTGTGGTTTCGTTTTTAACCAGTTGAACGTTGAAATACAAATATAAATGTATTACTGCTTAATAAAAATTAGCTTAGGAGGTTACTATATTTTATTTATTTATCCATTATTAAAATTTAAGGAAACTTTCCCAAAGTAACAGGCATAACTCTAACTCGCGTAGGTTTTTGATAAGTGAGTAAGTAACTCACTTATCAAAAACCTACGCCACTTCTAGGTTACTTAGAAATTTGGCAGGTTTAGTGATGCAGTTAGTTTCAAGTTTAGTACGCATAAAGCGGCCAAGCAGTACCTTTTCTACCGACTTGCCGACAGATGCACTTTAAAAGTGGCATAATGAACATACCTTATTTATTTTTCAAACAAACATTTAATTATTGTTAACTTAAGCTCACCTCAATTGAGCCATAGTGGGAATTAGCCATTGTGTATTATTTAGACATGTGTCAATCATTCATTCAATATCACAATCAAATTCTGTTTCATCATACAAACCGGATCATTTGAGTCAATCATTGAAATGTATAATTTTGGTTTGTCTTCCACCAGGAGAAATATTGTTTGATGGTAAAATATTTATTACAGTGTTCTGTACTTTTAGTGTGTGTAAATTATTAATATTTCGAATAATAATATGTACCACTTAATAAATTAAAATCTTGTGTATTTCATATACACATGCCACAAAAGATAAGGTAGCTTCCTTGTATACATAGGCTGCACTAAAAGTATCGGGAATGGAATATTTCCACGGTTCCTGTCATATTAAAATATTTTTAATTGTAAACCCCTTGGTTTTAAAAATCGAATACCATTTATTTATTTAAAAAAAGATTCTCGGTCTTGTCACAAGGTTTTGTCAAACTTGTTTAGTCGTTGAGAAAATGGAATTGACTCGAGAAAATTAAAGAGTGATGATTTATTATGACTTTCGAAGTGGTTTAACACAAAAACAGCGTGTTGACCGGATAATTTCTGCATTTGGTAATGAAGCCCCATCCAAAACCACAATTTATCGCTGGTTTGCTGAATTTCAACGTGGACGTGGCAAGCTCAGTGATGATCCCCGTCAAGGTCGTCCATAAACTGCAGTCACCCAAGAAAACGTTGATGCTGTGCGTAAGCTGATTGAGGAAGATCGACATGTGACATACCGCAAAATTCAGGCAACTTTAGACATTGGCATGAGTCAAATACAAATAATCTTGCATGAACAATTAGGTGTAAAAAAGTTGTTTTCCCGATGGATACCGCATTCGCTCTGTGAAGAGCAAAAAGCAGCTCGCGTTACTTGGTTTTTCAGAACTCTCGAAAGATTCCACGCAGGATCCTCAAATGCTGTATACAACATCATATCAGGTGACGAATCCTGGATATACGCGTACGAACACGAAACAAAAAACCAGTCACGAGTTTGGGTGTTCGAAAATGAGTTAAAGCCAACAAAAATTGTTCGTTCACGGAGTGTTGCAAAAAAAATGGTGGCCACGTTTGTCTCCAGAACCGGCCATGTTACGACTATGCCTCTTGAGGGACAAAGAACGGTTAATGCAGAATGGTATGCTAGCATTTGTTTGCCACAGGTCGTTTCTGAACTCCGTAAAGAGAACTGCAACCGCCGCATCATCCTCCATCACGACAATGCGAGTTCTCACACCGCACACAGAACAAAAGAGTTTATGGAGCAAGAAAACAGAATTATTAGACCATCCGCCGTACAGCCCCGACCTAAGCCCTAATGATTTCTATACTTTCCCTAAAATAAAGAATAAATTGCGTGGACAGAGATTTTCATCATCTGAAGAAGCTGTGGACGCCTACAAAACGGCCATTTTGGAGACCCCAACTTCCGAATGGAATGGTTGCTTCAATGATTGGTTTCATAAGAGCTCTTCTGAAAGTAATGTTCTTCTTACCATATAGATCCCCAACTGATAACTTATATCTGAATAGTGGTATCTTATCTGTAAGAAAGTTGTACCTACTACGCATTGTCACTAGAAAGCACAAGTCGATTTCCTATGACCCAAAAAAAAGCAATCGTAGGACGATCGTTAATGTTGTTCCACAGCCTCGGGTTAGATCGGTATTTGCAAAGAGGCAATATAACAGTCAGTCTGCTTACATATATAATAAACTTAATAAAAAACTCAACATTTACCCTCTATCACATATTGAATGTAAAAAGACACTAGAGAAATGGTTAATCACAAAAAACTATGAAGAAATTGAGAGTGTCATTCATCACCCATAAGCGCAACTGAGTGCTATGCAACTTTTGGTGACAGTTAGAGAAAGTTATTCATTGAACAATGATAACTTCTGATCCCAAGACACAGTCGTAGGGCTAACAAACCAACAAACGAATATGTGTAATATTCCACACTATAATATATAATTCACAAAGATACATATTCTATACATACATGCACCATGCACCATACATGCACCCACATGCACACATATAACATACACTCACGCACAAACACACACACATACACACGCACACACACACACACACACACACACACACACACACACACACACACACACACACACACACACACACACACACACACACACACATACACACACACTTTTTTTTTATACTTTTATAATTTTATAATTTAATAACTAACTTTCTATTAGTCTTTGCCTTAACTTAGTGTTGCATACCCACTGTTTGGAAGAGTGGTGCTTCCTAGTACAAGCAAATCCTTTGCTTAAAAGGAAGCTCCAACCACAATTTGATGTAATAGATTAAGTTATGGAATAAAGAATTTGAATTTGAATTTGAATCGTATGGAAAAATGTGTCAAATTTCACGAAGAATACTTCGAAAAGCAATAAATACATTTTTAAATAGTAATGTTGTGTCATTTCCTTGATTCCCGAAATTTTCAGTGCCGCCCTCGTAGTTGCAAGTACTTTCCATGATTATCTCAAACTCACACACAAACATTTCCGCCTTTGTATAGTTTAGTTGCAGCAACTCTTACATTTATTTTGAATAGCAAGTAGATAAAGGCCTATTCATGTAATATTATTACATCCAAAATTTGTGCAAAACTGTTAATCAAAGGTCACAGGATAAAAAAGGTTCTGTAAATTGTTTGTTCTGGGATCATTAAAAATATGATTGCAATCATCAATACTTTAATATAACCCGGGTCAAACAAACTAATATTTCAAGATAGACACACTCTAAATTAATTCAAGATCATCTTGAAGAATAAATTTGAAAAATAATTAAAGGAATTATGGATAAAACAATTACAAGATTGTATTTTATATGCCTTAGATGTAAATTTTATTTTATTAACAATAAAATATATTATATTATATCATATGCCATATCACCAATGCAAAAAAGTGCTTATTGAAAGGCCTTGAACATTAACATACAAGGAAATGGAAATGATGCTGAAGAGAACAGCTTAAAACACACACACACACACACACACACACACACACACACACACACACACACACACGCACGCACTCACTCACACACACACTCATACTCACACACACACTCATACTCACACACACACACACACACACACACACACACACACACACACACACACACACGTTCATACTCACACACACACACATACTCACACACACACACATACTCTCTCTCACACACACACACACACACACACACACACACACACACACACACACACACACACATACTCACTCATACACATACACACACACACACACCCACCCACACACACACACTCATACTCAGTCTCTCTCTCTCACACACACACACACACTCACACACATACTCTCACACACACACACACATACTCTCACACACACACACACACACACACACTCATACTCACACACACTCATACTCACTCACACTCATACTCACACAAACTCATACTCTCACACACTCATACTCACACACACTCATACTCACACACACTCATAAGCACACACACTCATACTCACACACACTCATACTCACACACACTCATAAGCACAAAGCAATCACAGTCTACGGTGGTAGAGCCACGCGGCAGCTTTTGCAACAGCACGTATGGGCTGTCTCGATCCGGGTTGGTACCACGACCTCACAGAATACAGGCGTGAAGTGGAAACTCTGCTTCTGCGTTTCGTCTGGTGAGTGCAGGTGGCCGGAGGATGACGGAAACCTCTCATCCAGACGGATATCAAGTATCCATAGATGCCCCTCGCGGTTGAGTTCTGCAAGTTGTCGCCGTGTTTGGCATTACAGGTCGACGTATTGGGATGGAATGCGGTCTTTCTTTACATCCTACCCATGGCGGTTTGCTTCTCGTCGGATGATGCCAGCGCTGTTGCTAACTCTCTCACTGATGTGGTGCTACAGGGAATGGAACTATTTATTCCATCATCTGTGGTACCCATTGGAGGCAGATCTCAGCCTTGGTTTGGTCGCTCCTGTAAGACTGCATTACACAGTAAGCAGGAGTGTTATCAGGCCTGGGCTGAGGTTTCTGCGGCTCGGTATATAAATATTAGCATGCTTAAAAAGTAGTATAAATTCGCCTCCAGGTCCTTTAAAAGACTTATTGTCAAGGCAAAATCAGAGCACATAGGCAGAATTGGCCATTTTTTCATTCCATTGTGATCGGCTCAATTCATTGGCGCTGCGAAGAGATGTTGCATCCCTTTGCATTTTCTTTCGCATTTACCAAGGGGTGTGCTCTGACGAATTGTTCGGATTAATCCCAGCCGCCGAATTTAGCGAAAGCACATCGCGGCAGAACTCCCGATACCATCCACATCATCTGGATGATTGGCGGTCTACCACTGTGCGATATAGATGTTTTTTCCTTGCATAACTTCCTTGTGGAATCGATTACCACCAGCGATTTTTCCGGGCCGATACGACTTAGGGACATTCAAGAAACAAGCCTACTCCTATTAAAAAGGCCAGCAATGCATCTGCAATTCCTCTGGTTCCCCTGGTGTCACAGTTGCATGCTATTTTGCCCTCTCTCCTGTAAAAAAAATCACGCACACACGCACGCCCACACACACACCCATACATACAAAAAGAGAGAGACCCACACACATAGAGAGACACAAGTAGTAGTAGTAGTAGAAGCAAGTATTTTTAAAAACGTTATCTCCACATTTTCTTCTTTATCGTGGGGGTAGTTTACATACATGAATTTCACAAGAACAAACATCCAGACCCGGAATAAAAATAAAGAAACAAAAAATTTGTATGGCCTACAAATATTTGTTCCGTGTGGAATTCGAACTCGCGGCCCTTAACGCTGCAACTCATTGCTAAGACACTGCGCCACGGAGCTACCAAATTAATCACATCATCAGTTATTGAGACATTCTACTAATGTATACAAAATGCAGTTATGCAACACTTACCTCAATATCACATCTCCTTTACTCTTATCATGCATTAAATCTTCATATAACTCGTAATATTTGCTAGAAATTACAGGAGACTTTCTGTAACTTTGTTTCATAGACCTCTGAACCAAAAGTGACATGATACTGCCAAATGTTGCCGATGGTAAACTGCAAATTTAATATTATATAAATTAATTAAATAAATTGTAATAATTAACAGACTTTTGGTAATGCATAGTTTTAAAATAAAGATGAAAGACATGGAGTTTAAAATATTATAAGAAATTATCCCACCTCTGATGTTAGAAATTAAAATGTAGAGCTACAAGACAAAGCTTTAATCCGACTGCTGATGTTAGAAATTACCCTCAAATTATTTAAATAAAAGAATATTACTAGGTAACAAACCCTCCTTACTATCAAATACCATTCTGGAGGCCAATTGCCAAAGATAACAAAGGTGTGAGAGCAGATGCTCAACTTACTCTCCAGCTTAAGCAATCAATTATTATCAGGAATAAAACAGCTCACCGCACCATACACTTAGCATAGAGTAATACATTTTGATCAACCGTAACATGTTACCATCGTAATCACACATGGGTGCAACATGAAGGACCCAATTACATGATAACAATTACATGATAACACCAAAGTAGGCATACCAATAGCAATACTACGCATCTCAATGTAACTCAGGGCAGCCTTCCAGCCTTCTTAGATCTTCCTTGGCTATACAAGTAGAATACCACAACTAGTATAGTAACAACAGTGAGACTTGTAGAATTACCGAGTGATGCCTCTTATTGCTTCTCTTCATTGTCTGTGCAGTATATTATACAGCTAGAATGAGTGGGAGATTACAGTTCTACTCTAATTTCTTTGTATTTTATTTTATTTTTACCCTCATTCCTAACATTATTATATTTCCCTACTTCAAATTTTTTTTGAGATTTTGAGCTCCGATAGCTCAGGGGCTAAGCACTTGTCAATTGCCAGCAGTGAATGATGCAATCTTTAATTTTTTAATGCAATTTTTAATTGCTGATTTAGCACATGCTTGTTGAAGGAAACCTGTATGTCTGAAAAATAAAAATTCAAAGTAGTACACCTACATACATTAAGGTAACCACCACTAGTCCACGACTAAACATAGGTCTCCCCCAAGGAATGCCACAAAGCATGGTCCTCAGCCACCTGCATTTATCATAGACTTCCTACATATCATATAAAGTAACTTCCTACATATTAACAGGTTGTCACTATATCTAGTGGAATGCTGAGCAATATTAATAAAGAGAAAAATGTGTTTCTGAGTGCTGAAACTTTGTACATTTATGTTAGAAAGTAGATATTTCGAACAATAGTCATATGAAAGTGCTAACTTTGGGTAGTTAATTACATGTGAGCCAAATCAATTATTATTTTGTACAGTAGAGCTCACAGTTCTTAATATGGTCAATGTATATTAAATGATTTACAAGTAAACTTGTGACAGAATACATGCTGAGGAATGAAAGAAAATTGTGAAAGCCTACATGTTTAGAAATAAAATGTTTCGTGGATATTATACGTATTCTGACTACTACTACTACTGAAATGATTAGGCTGATCAGAAATGAAATGAGAATTTGCAGCAATTTTTTTTTGTTTATATAATCCTGTAAGTTTTATTATTACAACTTACTCTATGTATTTCTTTCGTAGTTCATTTTCAGCTTTGCGGCTAAACGTTGAAATTTTACTGAAATCTTCAACAATCGCGTTATATAGTTGAATTGACATTGGCTTAATTTCCATTTGCGACATTATAAAGATATCAAAAGAATTACTTGGTTTTGCAAAAATAATTGCTTTGATTTTTTGAGCTACCGAATCGTATTCACAGAATACTTTACTCCTAGCGGAGATCGTATTATTTTTAGCCATAGACAATATACCATATAGGATAGGTGTTTTGTATTTTCATAAAGATATGTACCTATATTTCTAAGGCCGGCCACATACATACGGAATTCCGTTTCGAGATTCCGTTTCGGAATTCCGAACGGTAGGCCACACACAAACGGAATCCCGTTTTGCCCGCAAAATATCGAACGGAAAACTAGCGTACGTGTGTGGCGGGTCATAGATTTTATATGGACATGCTGCGTTCGGGATTCCGAATTGGAATATCGAAACGGAATCTCGAAACGGAATTCCGTATGTATGTGGCGAGCCTTAGGCCCTACGAATCCCGAACGCAGCAAGTCCATATAAAATCTATGACCCGCCACACACGTACGTTATTTTTCCGTACGTAATTTCTCCGATTCGAGATTCCGTATGACCGCCTGTGCGTTCGGGATCCCGAACGGAAAAAAGCCGCTCCGAACGCACGTCTTCCATAGATTTTGCACGAGTCGCAACACACATACGTAAATTCCGTACGGAATGAATGCGCTCAGTGTTCGTCGCACGACCGAAGCGAGTAGGTGTATTTACGTATGTTTTTACATTTAATCTTGTAGGTGTATAGCTTTTCGTAATCTTTCATCTTATTTTATTTAATAATTCGTCGATAGAATTTACATACATAAATATTTAAAAAATATCTCTGGATAGATAGATCTTTTTACATAGTATTGACTATGTTGCAAGCTTAGGGTGATAAGGGGATGCACCTAGTAAGAATGATACAGCAACAATGGAATTTGCAATTAGAAAATCGTCGTCATTATTCGCTGGCAGAATGTCTAGACTCAATGGCTAACTTCTCTCAACTGACCCTTGTTATTCCGAACGGAAAAAAAACACACGTGTGTGATGTATTCACGGAATCCCGAATCGGGATTCCGAAACGGAATCTCGAACGCAGCAAGTCCATATAAAACCTATGACCCGTCACACACGTACGGTAGTTTTCCGTTCGAAATTTTGCGGGCCAAACGGGATTCCGTATGTGTGTGGCCGACCCGTTCGGAATTACGAAACGGAATCTCGACGTATGCATGTGGTGGGCCTAAATGAAGTTGCCTGACAGATGCTAATGTCACTTTATGAAATAATGTTGCCAGGTTCATTGTAATAGTGATGCGTTCAGTAACTCAGTATACGATGACTTGATGATTATGACTAAAATTAAATTAACCTATCTTGATTGACATTGTGAAACTTGTTGACGAATATTATATCATTGAAATAAACAGAAAAAATATTGTTAGTAAGAATGATAATACATACTGCGTTACATTACAAAGACTAAATTGATAAAGCTCAGTCAGTTCTAGGATATTGCATTACGGTATGGTGAGGAGCGGCAAAAACTAACTTACTGAACATAGAAAGAGGACAACGATACCTTCTTAAAGTTATGTATTTTAAGCCTATTACATTTAATACCGAACAACTGTATAATATTAGTGATGTTCTTACGGTTAGGCAACTATATATCTTACAGTCAATTTTAAAAACATTTACTAACTCGCCATATGATCCAAAAAAAAAACCATCTACACGGGGGAATCATAACGTCATTAGACAAATTTATGTCAAATTTAAATTTGCTGAGAGACAGTACTGTGCCCAATCAAGATATATGTATAATTACTTAAATAAAAAATTAAACTTTCACCGGTTAATTATTGCGAATGTAAAAAAATACTTACCGATCATCTTAAAAAATTGTCTTATCACACCACAGAAAACATTCTACGTCATGGAATTAAATAATATATTTGTTTATCGGAATAGAATAGAATAAAATAAAATTACATAAAGTAATAATAATAAAAATGCTTACACTTTTAAGCACCTACAAACACACGTATACACATACACTCACACGCGCACACTCACACACAAACACACACACACACACACACACACACACACACATACCTACTCTAAATCATAGGTAATCTTGCTCGGCTTATCTCAATATTTAATGTTATTAGGAAGAGCGGTGCCTCCTGACACAGGTATTCTTTTATACTTACTAGGAGGCTAAAATTAGTTTATTATTTAGTATGCCTTGAGAAAGAAATAAATGGATTTTTAATTTTAATTTAATTTAATTTTTAATTTTAATACTATTGTGACACGAGGGGGCGCTCTGACTTTCGGAACGCACCCTGCGTCCGCCGTGTCGATCGCCATTTTGTGTGTCATTTGTCTTGTCATTCATTCGGCTTCTAGAGATGAGTCGTACTAGGTAAATTATGTACTAGGTGCACTTAGTCCAATTCCGTACAAATACTCGATCCAAATACCTGTTCCACCTAATCCATGAAGTACGCATAGACTTTGGTATTGTTGGAATAGTATATACTTAGTACGCTTAGTCTTTACGTACAGCTGATCCCGATACGTGAAGGTAATGAATAGTAATCAATCGTCCATTCATGCTTTACACAGGCTTATGACTGGTCAACGTTAAGATTTATTTACATTCTAGATTCTTGGCGTTTTGAAAGATTTCAATTCATTTAATTTTTATTTAAGAGTAATCCGATATTTGCCTTTTTTTTCATTTATTATTTTTTTATTATATTTGTTTCGTTTTATTAATTACCTATCTACAATTATTGTTTTTTACATACGCGCGAAAAATCAGTCTTAAGGGTTTTTAAAACTAAATTATATTTTACAAATGTTACACTCAGACATTTGCTGGCATTTTTCCGAAAAATGATCCCAAGCGACACTGCTGCAATTTTTTTAAACACTAAACACTTTAATATCTAATAAAAAAAAATTCTTTAACCACATAACAAAACTTCGTTTCGAAAACCTATTATTAAATAAGTCGAGTAGGTATCATTCAATACGGTGCCGAGATCACATTCGCATGAGTCCGTACTAGACACTCGACTGCATCATATGCCTCCATTCGCATCAAGTATTTACTAATACCTAGTCTATAAAATCTGCCTAGTATTTGGTTGAAGTCCCCGGGACTAGTCCCGACTAGTCTCGAGTATTGACAGAGAAAGATAGAAAGACTGCGAAATAGTGTAGTTAAAAAAGGACAGAATATATTCTTGCACAACACGAGTGCGCGTTGTGTTACTTTTATATACATTGAAATACAGTTCAAATTCAAATGACTGACACACGAATGATTTAGGCAAACACGAGTGAGCGGCAAAGCAGTTTAGTAACTATGGCAACAAAATGCTATCTCGCTTTACCGCTCCGGTACTTCTAATTCTTTGATTCGAGCGGGCCGACGCGTTGTGCCGTGCGACGCGTAGGCATAGGCACAGTGAGACTAGGTGGATCAAGTATTTTAAAAGCTAGAACAGGTGCAACCTAGTCTCGTTTAATACCTAGTGCCTAGATCTGTTCTAGTATATACACTTCATCTCTATCGGCTTCTAACCTTTGGTCTGATCGCTAGAAAATATTCTCTCCGCGCTGTTCTCCTGTTGTTTTTCTTTAGTTTCTTGTTAAGTTTTTTGTTACGTTGTGTTTGTATTGTTTTTTATTGTTGAGTTATTGTGTTTTTATATTGTTTCGTACAAACGATATGGAACCTCAACCAAGCACGTCGAGCAAAAGCTCTTTTTCCCCAAAAAAAGAAGAGACCACGGGCTTCTTTTAGCATTACCGAAAAGCTTATGGTACGCAATGTCTACAAATACATATTCGAGCAGGAAACTGCTTCGGTATAACCTACTGAAGTACCGGAAAAAAATATGTGTGTCTAAGACAGTTCAAATTTTGGGAATCGGTATGACCACAGCGTTCAGTGTATTAAAAGAATACAAACAAAACGAGCAATTTAAGTTTCCTGAAAAACTTGGACCGAAACATAATTTCAAGAATAATTAGACGATTTCACCTTAGCGGCTATAAGGCGAAAAATACATCAATTTTTTTATGCAAATGAGGCACCCACCATTGCAAAGGTAACTTTAGTGTTATTTTTTTACAACTTTGCGCGCAGCGCTATGTGTACGTAAAGCTTGTTATAGATAGAGTATGCGTGACGACAACTGTCGCGTCACTATCACACAAATCAAAGTTGCATATTTACACGCTCACGCACACATAGCGTTTTATTTGAGGTTCTATTTGACTTTTTTCTATTGCGTAGACTTTCTTACCCATAATCTGTTTAAATTACAAATTCTTAAGGTTATTAATGATGTCCCATATTTACCGAACTTCTCTTGGAGTACCTTGAGGAAAATTTTAAAACACTTAAATTTCTAATACGCCACAAAATCAAGAAAAAGCGTGCTAATAGATAGACGCGATATTGTTTTGTGGCGCCAGCGATACTGTGAAAAAATTAAAGATTATCGCAGGGAAGGAAGGTACATTTATTACCAAGATGAAACCTGGATCAACGAAGGTAATTAAATTTTTCTTTGTTTTATTTACCTATTACAGTGTAGGTATTGCATGCCACCGGTGGAATTTTATGAGTAATTGGTATTTTTCATTTTCTCGAAGCTCATACACCAAAGAATCAATGAATTGACCAGACTGTGCAATCGTCCCGGCAGGTATTCTTAGAAGGGCTGAGCACTGACTTGAAAGGGCCTTCAGGAAAAAGCAAACGGCTAATTATTAGCCATATAGGCGGAGAAGAAGGATTTGTAGAAGATAGCTTGCTTGTGCTTAACGCTAAAAAAGGAAAAGAAGATTACCATCAAGAGATGAATGCTGAATGTTTTGAGGAGTGGTTTAGTGGGGTTATGCCCAAACTAATACCTAATTCCGTAGTGGTGATGGATAATGCCCCCTATCACTCCAGAAAGTTAGAATCGCTGCAATACAAGAGTGGATTACAAGCA